CAAGATGAAGTGTGGTAGTCAGGGTGAAGTGTGGTAGTCAGGGTGAAGTGTGGTAGTCAAGGTGAAGTGTGGTAGTCAGGGTGAAGTGTGGTAGTCAGGGTGAAGTGTGGTAGTCAGGGTAAAGTGTGGTTGACAGGGTGAAGTGTGGTAGTCAGGGTGAAGTGTGGTAGTCAGGGTGAAGTGTGGTAGTCAGGGTGAAGTGTGGTTGACAGGGTGAAGTGTGGTAGTCAGGGTGAAGTGTGTTAGTCAGGGTGAAGTGTGGTAGTCAGGGTGAAGTGTGGTAGTCAGGGTGCACGGAGGTGACGCACCACGACTTATACCTTATCCTGCTCCTGAATTTCATACTTTTGGGACACTCATAATGGGGAGGTGAAGCATATCTGGGACCTGTGGAGTTACTTTTGTAACTCCTGTTCCATTTTCTGAACGAGATCTTTAAAATAACCTAGGAATAATATTGTTATTCAATCATTTTGATGACTGTTCCTTACTTACAATTGTACGATTTAACTAGATTTTAGAACCCAGAAACACTTCCTTGTCCCTCGTGTTTTACTACATTTTGATCCTGCAAATCTAAAGAGTGTAAACCTGAGATGTGCAATAGACAAACTAAAACATAAAGCACTGGTCTACTTAACAGAGGAAAACTTTAGATAAAATAGATCATGTATGTTGCAATATGTTTATTGAAAGAGTGAGGTGCTGAGTACAAGGGTAGCACATTATAGCAACAGATTCAAAGAATCATCACAACTGGATATAATTATGATTCGTGGTCCATCCCTAGCAATCAATGATTAAGTCACGTGTAACCGATCCGACCAACCACGGCACAGAAGCATCTGAGTTTTATCGTTTCTGTATCTGCATCGGATCCACAGTTGAGATATATGCAGGTCAGCCACTAGTTGCTCTCATACGAAATGATACAATTGGGGTTGCGCACACCAAATTAATTATCAGCCCATTACATCCGTGAAGCAGGTAAATTGTACAAATCCTCCGATAGAGAAGTAGAGAGTTGGCGGATGAAGTTATGTCGTTTCTCAGAGTCGTTTCTCAGAGGCAGTTGTCCAGTGAATTGCAAAATAACTGTTGGCAACGCGACGTATTTAGTATGCTTAATATAGTAGCCGTTATCTTTATAAATCAAGACTCGACTGAGTCTCGACAATCTTCTTCAATTACGCGAATGCATCCGCTGCAGAGTTGGACTTTCTGTTCCATTTGTTCCGCGGAACAATATTTGACGAAAGTCGATTATCTTGAGATCCTACTGATAAATTTTCTTTAAACTTTCCAGATAGTTGTATGGCTATGAGACGGATATTCTGTGCGATTTTGTGCGAATTTCTATGTGCCAAACCTGATATATGACTTCAAACACAAGAAAATATCTCAAAATGGCGGTTTGTAGCGGAACGCAGGCACATATTTCGAGAACCTACTGATAAATTTTCTTTAAACTTTCCAGATAGTTGTATGGCTGTGAGACGGATATTCTGTGCGATTTTGGGCGAATTTCTATGTGCCAAACCTGAGATATGACTTCAAACACAAGAAAATATCTCAAATTGGCGCGTTCTAGCGGAACGCAGGCACATATTTCGAAATCCTACTGATAAATTTTCTTTAAACTTTCCAGATAGTTGTATGGCTATAAGACGGATATTCTGTGCGATTTTGGGCGAATTTCTATGTGCCAAACCTGAGATATGACTTCAAACACAAGAAAATATCTCAAATTGGCGCGTTCTAGCGGAACGCAGGCACATATTTCGAGATCCTACTGATAAATTTTCTTTAAATTTTCCAGATAGTTGTATGGCTATGAGACAGATAATCTGAGCAAGTTTGGGCGAATTTCTATGTGCCAAACTTGAGATATGACTTCAAACTCATGAAAACATCTCAAATTGGCGGTTTCGGAACGATATTTGACAAAAGTCGATTATTTTGAGATCCTACTGATAAATTTTCTTTAAACTTTCCAGATAGTTGTATGGCTATGTGATGGATAATCTGAGCAAGTTTGGGTGAATTTCTATGTACAAAACTTGAGATATGACTTCAAACACAAGAAAATATCTCAAAATGGCGGTTTCTAGCGGAACGCAGGCACATATTTCGAGATCCTACTGATAAATTTTCTTTAAACTTTCCAGATAGTTGTATAGCTATGAGACGAATATTCTGTGTGATTTTGGGCGAATTTCTATTTGCCAAACCTGAGATATGACTTCAAACACAAGAAAATATCTCAAATTAGCGCGTTTTAGTGGAACGCAGACACATATTTCGAGATCCTATGCTGATACATTTTCTTTAAACTTTCCAGATATTTGTATGGCTATAACAGTCCTCCATTCCTCTTCATCCTTCTCCTCCTCAGTCCTCCTCCTCCTTCTCCTCCTCAGTCTTCCTCTTCCTTCTCCTCCTCAGTCCTACTCCTCCTCCTCCTCCTCCTCCTCATTCTCCTCTTCAGTCCTCCTCATCCTCCTCTTCCTCTTGATTATCTGTCTAATAGCCCTCCTCTTCAGTCCTCCTCCTCCTCCTCTTCCTCCTCCTTCTCAGTCCTCCTCCTCAGTCTTCCTCCTCCTCAGTCATCATCCTCCTCCTCCTCCTCGGTCCTCCTCCTCCTCGTCAGTCCTTCTTCTCCTCCTCATCAGTCTTCCTCCTTCTCTTTCTCCTCCTCCTCAGTCCTCCTTCTCCTCCTCCTCCTCTTCCTTCTCCTCCTCCTGTGTCCTCATCCTCCCCCTCCTTCTGAGTCTTCCTCCTGAGTCCTCCTGAGTCCTCCTCCATCTGAGTCCTCCTGATTCCTCCTCCTCCTGAGTCCACACCCTCCTGAGTCCTATTCCTCCTCCACCTCCTCCACTTCCTCGTCCTCTTCAGTCCTCCTCCTCCTTCTGAGTCTACCTTCTCCTACACTTCCTCCTCCTCCTCAGTCTTCCTCAGTCCTCCTCCTCCTCCTCCTCAGTCCTCCTCCTCCTCAGTCATCATCCTCCTCCTCCTCAGTACGCCTCCTCCTCATCAGTCATTATCCTCCTCCTCCTCATCCTCCTCCTCCTCCTCCTCCTCCTCTTCCTCCTCCACCTCAGTCCTCAGTCCTCCTCCTCTTCCTCCTTCTCCTCCTCAGTCCTCCTCCTCCTTCTCCTCCTCATCAGTACTCCTCCTAAGTCTTTCTCCTCATCCTCTGTCCTATTCCTCCTCCTCCTCCTCCTCCTCCTCCTCCTCCTCCACCTCAGTCCTCAGTCCTCAGTCCTCCTCCTCTTCCTCCTTCTCCTCCTCAGTCCTCCATCTCCTTCTCCTCCTCATCAGTACTCCTCCTAAGTCTTTCTCCTCATCCTCTGTCCTATTCCTCATCAGTCTTCCTCCTCCTCAGTCCTCCTTCTCAGTCCTCTTCCTCCTCATTCTCCTCTTCAGTCCTCCTCATCCTCATGCTCCTCTTCCTCTTGATTATCTGTCTCATAGCCATACAACTATCTGGAAAGGGGGATCATGTGTATTTTCAAAGTCTTCCTCCTCCTCAGTCATCATCCTCCTCCTCCTCAGTCCTCCTCCTCCTCGTCAATCCTTCTCCTCCTCCTCATCAGTCCTCCTCCTCCTCCTTCTCTTCTTCCTCCTCGTCAGTCCTCCTCAGTCTTCCTTCTCCTCCTCCTCCTCTTCCTCCTCCTCCTCCTCAGTCCTCCTCCTCATCGTCAGTCCTTCTCCTCCTCATCAGTCCTCCTCGTCAGTCCTCCTCCTCCTCCTCCTCCTCCTCCTCCTCCTCAGTCCTCCTCATTCTCCTCGTCCTCCTCCTCTTCTTCAGTCCTCCTCTTCCTCCTCCTTCCCCTCCTCAGTCCTCCTCTTCCAGTTCTCCTCCTTCTCTCTCCCCTCCTTCTCATCAATCCTCCTCCTCAGTCCTCCTCAGTCCTACTCCTCTTCCTCCTCCCTCCTCAGTCCTCCTCAGTCCTCCTCCTCAGTCTTCCTCATCCTCATCCTCCTCTTCCTCCTGTGTTCTCATCCTCTTCCTCCTTCTGAGTCCTCCTCCTCCTACACCTCCTCCTCCTCCTCAGTCTTCCTCCTCCTCCTCCTCCTCCTATAGCCATGTAACTATCTGGAAAGTTTTAAAAAATTCTATCATTTAAATCTCCAAATATATGCCTTTGTTCCGCTAAAAACCGCCAATTCGGAGATATTTTCTTGTGTTTGAAGTCATATCTCAAGTTCGGCACATAGAAATTCGCCCAAAATCACACAGATTATCCGTCTCATAGCCATACAACTATCTGGAAAGTTTAAAGAAAATGTATCAGTAGGATCTCGAAATATGTGCCTGCATTCCGCTAGAAACCGCCAATTTGGAGATATTTTCTTGTGTTTGAAGTCATATCTCAGGTTTGGCACATATAAGGTTGCCCAAAATCGCACAGATCATTCGTCTTATAGTCATACAACTATCTGGAAAGTTTAAAGAAAATTTATCAGTAGGATCTTGAAATATGTGCCTGCATTCCGCTAGAAAGCGCTAATTTGGAGATATTTTCTTGTGTTTGAAGTCATATCTCAAGTTTAACATATAAAAATTCTCCCAAACTCTCACACATTATCCGTCATATAGCCATGTAACTATCTGGAAAGTTTAAAGAAAATCTATTTGTCAGATCTGGAGAAAATCAAAAATATATTCTAAGTTATTCACTAAAACACTCGATTTTCGAACTTTTTATTTGGAACAGATTTGTCGAAAGTCCTTCTGCCGCTGCATTTTATAACAACGGTTACGACGGGCGCTGAGAGTTTTTAGCTTCTAAATTACGATTGTTCAGCAATTCACATACGCGCGCATTCGGCGCGTCATTTCAGATGAACGGTTTGAATTACATGCCGGGAAGAATTGATTCTACTGTATCACAAGATCACTCCAATAAAATTACAAATAAAACTAAACAAAGGTCTTTAGTAACTAAAGATCATACTATAATATGAATTCAGTTCTTTGAAGATTACTTTTTCAGAGAATCTAGCAGATAGGCGAAAGTCTAACAGACACTCCTCTGCGGCGCCCTTCTCCCCTCCAATATCACGAACTCTCCGTGATTTGAACAACAGTATAATGAACTACGTGGAGCCGGCTCAACCCCAGTATAGTAGACGGAGGTCAAATAGAGTGCAAGCATTCAACGATACCAGCATCAGGAGTGACACTCAGGTCCGTCTTTTGATACATAGTGTTCCCATTATTATGATTGAAAACAATGCTTCTCTTGTTTTGGCACGAGCAAATGTTAAAATAGAGTTGGCATTCTTCCATATGCAAGGTTCTATTTATTGAGTAAACCATGTAGTCCAATAGATAATGGTCGTATAAGTTTAGGATTTACCACAGGTGTAAATAAATTATGGCTAATGAATCAGATTAATAATGCGTTCATGTTTTCTGTTTAGATCTGGGACTGACAAATTAAATTGTTTCAGGCGACACACGAGCTGATCAGGTCACTACATGAAACTAGTCTCATGCTACAAGACCGAATGGCAATGTCCGAGATAGACATGTCCAGAAAACGCCTGTTTGACGACTTCAGCATCTCCTCCAGAAGCTCTGTTCGTAATGACACGTACAGCACGGAGACTAAACCACGGTACTCACAAAAGTTCGAGCCGCGATCCCGGGCCTCTTACATAGTTAGATCTCCTACCAAACGAGGTCCACGAGTTAGTGCAAGGTTCAAGAGGATGTCTCCCTCCCCGAGCAAGCTTATATCACCTTGTAGGAAAGGTATTAAGGGTCTCCGAGTTGCAGCTCCCTCGCCCTTAGCTGCGGGGGCCTCCCCAAGTCAGAACGTTACTTTCGAAAAGTCCCCTGGCACAGGGTTAAAACGGGCAGCTGATATCGAGCCAGAGAGCCCCTCCAAGAAATCCTGCCTGGACGACAATGACAGTGGCAACGGTACGGCTACCAAAGTAGAGGAGGAAGAACCAAAGGTTAGACCCAGAAGAAGGAGTGACATTGCCCGGAGAGTTAGTCTGAGATTGAAGCAGGTTTATGGTTTATCACCAGTCAGAAAACGAGTACCCAGGAGGCAGGTGACAACCTCTGCTAACCGGGCCACCTCCGGCTAGGGGGACACTCCTCCTTCTTCAACCAGGAGGAGACAAACATGCAGCCACGTTATCAACTTTGTGTTTTGAGAAGTTTAAAGGACTCTGGACTTCATGCATGGAAAATACTAATTTATGAATGTGTCCGCGTTTTTCTGTAATCAGTGTAGCATTTATATTTATCCAGCTTGATTTTGCCAATGTATGGACCGATTGAATTTAAGGGCATAATGGAAGACCCTGCCATGCCATCTAGAAATTATATTAAATGTTCACTACAGAACAACAGTAGTTGTCTTCCTGTCTTTGATGGTGAAAATGGTTATCAATTTTGGAGAACTATATTCGTTAGAGACTAACAAAATAAATATTCAAATTAACTCCAATTTATGTTAAATTTTACCCTTTTAAATTTTATACAATGATTTAATCGTTTAACCTTTACAAATGATATGTTGTTATTTAAGTTTATTTTGTAGATGGTTGCCGATCTAACTTTTGCCAAAAATCTCCTGACAATTGACAAATTTTTATTAACCGTGGTTTCTGCACAATCTGACTCTGACATTCAATTTAAGCTAATCATTGTCCAGGTAACGAATTAATTTACAAATTAAACATGGGTGGCGCTTGTATTTCTCGCAAACATTACTTAAAACAACCCAAGACTGACTTATGATCAAAAGTTAAAAACATATCCAGTCACCACGGTTAATCCTAGCTTCTTTTTTTCAGGTTGTTAAAGCTTTTATATTTGACGTTTCAATTAAAACCCTTGTTTGTTATTAAAAGGAAAAGTTGTAAGATATGAATAAATTAGCAGGTTCATTAGTTTTAGCTGTGATTTTGGAATTTCAATTGTACTTCTAATTACTTCTTCCGCAACAAATGATTAAATACTCTCCGACCATCAAATTCGTGATGAGGAGAAGGAAACCGGTGGTCTACTGTTTTGAAGAAAACTGGTAGTACACTACTGTTCTCATGAGAAGGAAACCGGTGGTCTACTGTTTTGAAGAAAACTGGTAGTACACTACTGTTCTCATGAGAAGGAAACCGGTGGTCTACTGTTTTGAAGAAAACTGGTAGTACACTACTGTTCTCATGAGAAGGAAACCGGTGGTCTACTGTTTTGAAGAAAACTGGTAGTACACTACTGTTCTCATGAGAAGGAAACCGGTGGTCTACTGTTTTGAAGAGAACTAGTAGTACACTACTGTTCTCATGAGAAGGAAACCGGTGGTCTCTGGTCTTTCTCTACTCAGGGAGTGATTCAGAATCAGCGTCCAAAAATGATGGACGATTTAGGCTTGCTGGTAATTGTTTTTGCTGGCGACATGAAGTATAAAAAGGAAGTAGGAGAATATGCGAGTTGTGTCTCGGCTCTCAAACATGAGCTGCTCTGGGAATCGACTTCTCGTTCAAAATACAGGGATCCAAACTTACAGAGTATTTAGTGTCACGTCAAAGAGTCGAAATAAATGGAACTTTTTCGTTAATTCTGCCAAAATTTCCAGACGTCTGGATTTTCAGAAACCACCCCCCTCCCCCTGTCCGGACTTGTCCGAAATTCCAAAACCACCCCCTCCCTATTTGCCGGACGTCCTAAGTAGATAGCACTAAAGTGCAAAAATGCACATTTGGGGTATTGTATTTTGGGCTGTGGACGTTCCAGAAGCTTCTATAGGGCCAGGGGTTGTTCACACTTCACATATTACGTAATCAGCCGAGGGGGAGGGGGGTTTCCAAATGATTACGCGCAAGTGTAATTTTAACACAATAGCTACCTTATAGTTATCGCGGACCTTATTTGGACGGACATTAATTGAACGCCGTGCTGGAGGCCCTGACGTGCATCTTAAACATCCTGTTAAAGCCCGTTCATTTAAGGTCCGTCCAAGTTAAAGTCTGCTAGCAGTTAGCAGCAGTTAACAGTAGTCAGCAGCAGTTAGCAGCAGTTTCTTTGCACTATGGCACCCCTGTGTATATAATAGATTCTAGGCTGCGTATTTATTAAAACGCAAACGGCCGTTCACCAATCGATAAGTATAATATAATATACATTATCCTTGACGTGTAACCCAAACCACCAAACGTAAAGATCCCAATTCAATTTGTAACGGATGTAAGTGTGAAGTGGCCATCTACTTAGTACGTCCACCAAAATCGCAGATTTTCAGAACACCACCCCCCTCCCGGCCCCCTGACCGGGTGTGTCCGAATTTTCAAAACCACCCCTACCGGTACCCCCTCCCCCGGACGTCCGGATTTCCAGCTACTTTCAGCTACTCCAGCTAGTACAAATAAAATCAACTCAAATTCATTGTTAATAAAATTCAAAGAGTTGAAATAAAATTCAAAGAGTTGAAATAAAATCCAAAGAGTTGAAATAAATCAAAATGGGACTTTTCCGTTAATTTTGCCAAAATTTCCGGACGTCCGGATTTTCAGAAACCACCCCCCCCCCCTCCCCCTGTCCGGACTTGTCCAAAATTCCAAAACCACCCCCTCCCTATTTGCCGGACGTCCTATAGATGGCCCCTTAGGAGTCAATATATTTTGATGTTGCCATTGGTGGCAAGTCCCCCTAGTCATACATCGTAGTCCGATAGTTTCACTGCGTCCTAATATGATTATGAATACAGAAATGAAAATACAACTTTTTCTGTCAGTTCTGTCACATTGTGATTGTGCACTATTATTATAAAAGTGTACAATGTGACATAGCGTTCACACTCAATTGTTCTGTGCTGCAGAGTACACACAGTCAGTACACAGTAGGAAGTGAATTGCTAGTTTTCTCTGTTGTTAGTGGTGTTATGTTCGATTTGCGTGATCCTCCGTGCTGTCTTGTAATCTTCTGTCTTGTAATCTTCTGTCTTGTAAACTTCTGTCTTGTAATCTTCTGTCTTGTAATCTTCTGTCTTGTAATCTTCTGTCTTGTAATCTTCTGTCTTGTAATCTTCTGTCTTGTAATCTTCTGTCTTGTAAACTTCTGTCGTGTAATCTTCTGTCTTGTAATCTTCGTCCTAATATTAATTTAGTAAAAACGATAAAATAATTAATCGGCGAGTGTTTGGGGCACAGTAGAATTGTTGATAACACTGCAGTGTTATGGATGACCTAATCATGCAGGTGAAGCTGTAGCATTGGGTCATCCATCTCCTTTTAATCCAGATATTTACTATACGTTAGGCCTTAGGGCTTAGGGTGTACTTTTATCCCTAATGTTTTACTAGCATAATGTTTTGTTTTATCTGTTTCCTTTCACAGGACGATTATTAACAGCTATTGTTGCACAATAACTGTTAATAATCGTATTCGTCCTGTAAAAGGAAAACAGATAATTGTGCTAATATCATTGATTTATCATAATGTACATTATCAATTTGACCAAAACCCATAATCATGGGTAGAGTGGACCGCTGCCAGTGTCTCTCTTTCCCAAACAAAAGGCAATGATATCAATTTGAATGACCGTTATCAAATGCAAAATTATACCGAGAATGAAATTGGTCGCTCGCTTTTCCCACTCATTCATGGCTTACGAATTGTAATAAGTTTCGATTTATAACATGTAATCTATTTCAATTGTAAATGAATGGGAAAAGCGAGCGACCGATTTCATTCTCGGTATAATTTTGCATTTGATAACGGTCATTCAAATTGATATCATTGCCTTTTGTTTGGGAAAGAGAGACACTGGCAGCGGTCCACTCTACCCATGATTATGGGTTTTGGTCAAATATCATCTCTTTTTGATTATAATGTCAGGGTACTTTACAAAGCCGAAATGTAAACTCATAACTTCATTAATATTAATAGGGAGGTGATTTCAACGATTTCGAAATTTTTCCTTTAAAAACATTTCCTTGTGTTTAGGTAAGCATATCGGTCGATCACTGACTGAATATGCCACTTTATACTCATTCAAGTTGGCATTAAATTCATATATAATGACATTGAACTGTCGTGGGAGAGCAGAATTTGTTCAAAATCACGAATGAGCAAAATTTTAACCTTTCGCACGTGCAAACCTTGAGCGGAAGTTGCGTGCGCATCCAATATTGAATCACCGTAAATTTTTGCATGATGGTGTTTTATATATAGTTTGATAAGCATGAAAAGTTTCAAAGTATTTCAAGAAGAACTGTAATCACAACGGCACTCCAAAGTTGACGGAAATTGGTGAAAACAGCAATATTCAGTGATTTTAGCAATTTTTTATCAATTTGGGCGTGGCCCCACGTGTGCAACTTTTCGACTTTCAACTTTAAAACTAGCCTATGACACAATTTAGACCTTTAGGAAGCAAAATTGAGCTCCACAACCCAAGGGATGGTGCAACACCAGAGAATACTAGAACGTAAAATTAGCGTTTTTATAAAATTATTCTTTAAAAAAGCACTAACTTCAATAGCGAATATCTTTATGAAGGAGCAAGCTAGAAAAACTTTCCGGTAGATTTTCAGAATGCTTAAACAATTATCTAACTTCAATATGCACTCAAATTTTGAATAAAATTACTCCTTAATGGCGTAAAATTGATTTTAAAAATGATTACTTTGTGAAAAATCAAGTTTTAAAAATGGTTAACTTGATGACGTCATCAAGTGGTGATGATGACGTTGAATTACTTTTTAACATAATGTAAACTAAAGTCTAAACAATTATCTTCAAGACCTGTGGTCCGAAATGGCTGTATCTTTAAAGCTTCTGAATCTACGGACACCTAAATATAGCCTATAATTGACTGGCAAAGCGTCTATCCCTGAATATATGTATATATATATGTATGTATGTATATATCACGACAATCTGTCGTAAAACAGGGGTTCTAGAAAACCCATTTCCCGATGCTCTTGAAACTTGAAACTTTTTTTGCAGTCGATTTGGTCAACGTCTAGACGCCCTGAAAAATTTCAGATCTCTAACTCAATTTTAACATGGTTTTTAAGGCACCTGAATATGGCGATTTCGGGTTTTTTACCGAATTTCGTATAACAGTGCTGGCGCGAATTTTATGCAAATTTCTTCAAAATCTCAACATAACTATTTCTTATTTCTGTCATCTTTGACATCAAATTAGAATGTTTTGAACTAAAAATAAATCTGCTGAACGACTTCCGATGAGTCTTAATGCCTGAAAAACTCCTGCCGGAGGCGGCGGCCTTCCAACGTGTACCAAAGGGGGTGTAAAGGAGTTATAATAGTAAAGGGGGTACAATAGTAAAGGGGGTACATAGTATACCCCCAATAAAGACACCGCTCGTGCTTGCCAGCACTGTGATTATCATAATGTAATATTCATTGTATTAATGTTTTCTAACAATGTTGAAATGTTATGTTAAATGTTTATTGTTTGTGTAATTCTCTTTCAATTATGTTATTAGTTGTGTTATTAGTTTGTAATATTAGTTTGTGTCATTAGTTTGTGTGATTAATTTGTGTTATTAATATGTTACTGGAGTGATATTTTCAATACGTTACATTGTCTAGTGTATGTAGACAATGTTTACATTGTCTAGTGTATACATTGTACGTCACAGTACATTGTACGTTGTTCTACTCGGAGAAGGATTTTGAGTAGATTGTGGGCCAATTCTGACTAAATAAAAGTGTACAGTAATAAATTAAATTTCTTATCTAAGGCTTAGATAAGACATTTAGATTCTAAGCAACTGTATAATTTACTAACGTAGTAACTAGTAACGTTGTCATGTGGCACACCTGTGCACTGAACTCTTTTGGTTTTGTAACTTAATCCAGACCTAGAGTAACTTAATAACTAACTTAAGTTCCCGTCTTGTATTTCTCATCTTACAATTTCTCGTTTCTCTGTCTTGTTGACTTTTAGCATTCGACTGGGTCACTGGGTGCAAAGATTTGTGGCATCAGATATTCTAGGTAACTTTGATCTATAATAATAGGGTCCCTTGGGAAAAGTCTGTATATAGCAATTTAAAGTTTGGTATCTGCATTCGCGTTGTACCCGAACTTATCTCAGATTTCGATTTTGTCCGGGACCTCAACCTCATGGCTCCACATCAATCAACTGACCTATTGGTCACGACTCACGTTGGACAAAATGTCGTCAAATCGGTGAAATTTCTGTTCAGGAAATATCATATATTTGAAAATGGGACAGAAATGAGAAAACATGATTTCATACATTTTGTAACGTTTACTGTGTAATGCTCCCTTCGGTCGGAATCAAGCTTCCTATATAGTCATCTACAGTCTAGCTTATAGATCAACTTTATCTAAAACATCCGATACCATACGTTTTTTCACAGATTAAACCTTAATTTGGTTAAAATTCACATAAACTACAGGGGGTGGGGGGCTATATCAAATATCGATACCGTATAAGTGACAGTGTACGCTATCACATGATTACCCATCAATTTTGTGAACGAGATAAACAATTTCTTGATAACTTCATCATTTTAAATTCGTTTTGCGTCATTCTTTCAGATCATATTCCAAATTTAATGACCTATTACAATATGTTAAAATGTAGTTTCTAGCATCTGCTAGTATAAGTAATTCGATATTGATTGGGTGTGGCCTCGAAAGTCGAAAGTTTCACATTTTGGCGACAGAATCCTCGAATGAGTAGTTACAGTATACCATCTGCAATGTTACATATTGTCTTGAATATGAAACATGGCTACATTATACACGATTTTACACGCTTTGAAAATGTATTTTCTGCACAGCAAAGTAAAGTTAAAATAATTAACAAAATAAAAATAATTGCTTCACTAACATTGACATTCCAGTTGATGATATAATTTGATGTATAATTTAGATAAATTTCCATACTAAGTCTCACTTCGATGTATCTTTTTTTTGTCTATTTTATTATCGAAGCGTGTAATAAATGTTAGAATTCATTTATCATTTATTTGTTTTCAGACTGTCATTCTTGTATTTGTTTAGGAAACAATTATAGTCGTTATATATGTTACATTGGATCAATTCTTTTGACATAAATTCTTATTTTTATCAGCATGTTTAAATACCCCGCTTTTTCTCAATTCCAGTGAAAATGTCCAAACTGTTCAAGTTAGTCAGTGAAAATGACTGGGCGCAGTCTCTGAAGAGTCTCAGTAGAACAAATTCCACCAGTTCCATTTGTTCTGTAGCTTACTATCCTGCTCTGAGTTGGGAACTGAACAATATTAGGTAGCCCACGTGTAGCAGTAGCACACGTGTAGCACACGTGTAGCACACGTGTAGCACACGTGTAGCACACGTGTAGCCCACGTGTTTAAGTGTAAAATGTGATATTTATTGTTTCTCAGCCTGATTTACGTTTTTTAATTCTTGGATTACTGATCTAATTTTTAAACCAGAAATCAGAGTAAGGATATTATGTTTCCAATACTCGCGTACACGAAACTATTCCGTGAACAATAAACATCTGTATTGTGAATTGATCCTTATCTATGTATTTTATGAGATCTAAATCTTAACTTAACCAATGTAAATGATTTTTGTCAAATCAGCTCAATATTAAGTTCAATTAGATAGGACTGATGTAGATTGGTAAAGAAAGTTGTCAGTGATAACTGATACGTAGCCAGAGAAACGAGTATTGGTATGAGATCTTGAACAGTGTCTGAAAATAGTTCAGACCTCTTATATAAGGTGGATACAAGTTGAGCAGTTATTATTTGGAAGAGTGCCGAAAAGAGGAAAACAAGTCAGATTCTGAGACTCAGAGATTATGTCAAGGTTGGGAGGGGGAACAAACAATTTCACTTTCTCAGTGGAGACTGCCTCCAGTTCCAGTAGTTCAGGGTTCGGGGACGGCCAACTGGAGCCCTATCCTGCTTTAGAGTTGGAACTCCTCCGAGTCAGGTTAGTTCAGGGTTCGGACTTCAGGACGGCCAGCTGGAGCCCTATCCTGAAGCCCTAACCACATTCAGAGGATTCGATGAACTGTAAACGGGTAAACCACTTCTCCAGCTTCCATCGTTTTGCCTTTGGTTCACATTGCACTTCACTTTTTTTGGCCATTTTAAACCTGAACCTCTATGCGTATTGCGTACACCACTAAGCTATATTATTGGACCGCTCCCAATAAATCGCTCGCCTCAATTTTATGAAAATTCTTGTGAAAAGGCCCTGAGGGAATGAAAGTAATATGAGTCGGTATATTTGTGGACGCTGATTCCTAATCACACCCCCCCCCCCCCCCCCCCCCCACATGACGTAGGGTAGAAATGCTTCCCTTCAGAGTTATGCCTATGGTGTATGGGCAAAAACTGTTTTGGTCGCGTGACTAGCTAGTTAAACACGAATTCGAAAACCATAAAACCAAAGTCACGTGATAGTTTTAAGGCGAGCGATCATTAGTAAGACTAAGAGCCGGACACCTACTAAAAGTAAAATTATACGTAACCTACTCACACAGTCACCCAAAGATAATTACTACGTAGTTCGTTAATACTAATAGTAATACTAATTAACTAATAGCTGTTGATCGATGTTTGCTATTGATTCATGTTAAGTGTTAACTGTTAAGTACGCAATGCTCAAGACCAAAATCTAATTAGATAAACTGCATATACCTCCTATGTTTTTAAGTCATCATGAATCTGTCACCTTTGTTCTGTTGTTAAGTTTCACCATTACTTTCACTTTCACTTTCACAAAATTCTCCTCCCCAGATGGTATCACCCTAATCTGAACCGTCACGCAGCAGAGCACATCCTACTGGGAACTGACAAGGTTGGGAGCTACCTGATGAGGACCTACAGTAGAGGAGGACCTGACGACTTAACTGTTTCTGTCAAGTTTGTTTATTATTGTAGTTAATTAATTCCAGCGTTGCTTTAACACGTGATGACATGATTTAACAATCAGATTGCACTCATTTTGTTTAATTTAGGACCACTCACATCAGCTCCCGGCAACAGTAAGATCTATCGGTCATTCAAATAATTGATCATAAATCGACATGGCTGATCGAATATTTAAATCAGGTATCCCGAGGATGTAAAACATTTCCCCGTGTTATGGCAGGGGGACGGCTACCTATTCGGAAAACATAAGTTCGACAATTTAAGGAAACTTCTGGAACATTTCGAAAACATTCCCGCTATCGGTAAGTAAGGTTACAATTTAAACACAGAGATTACAGAGATTACACAGGTATTACAGATACACAGAGATTACAGTTACACAGAGGTGCTCTTCCTCTTTGCAAATTACAACAGTTTCAGCTCATTTAAAACTAATAACTAGCAGCAAGTTAATAAATTACTTAACAGGAACTGCAGACTTAGCGAGCACTTCCGGAGGTTATCAAGTGGAACTGCGCTACCCCTACCCACGGGAGGTGCACACTGACGACAAGGGTAAGTAGTCAGAGAGGAGCGCTGTGATTTGTCAGTAGTCAGAGTGGAGCGCTGTGATTGGTCAGTAGTCAGAGTGGAGCGCTGTGATTGGTCAGTAGTCAGAGTGGAGCGCTGTGATTGGTCAGTAGTCAGGGTGGAGCGCTGTGATTGGTCAGTAGTCAGAGTGGAGCGCTGTGATTTGTCAGTAGTCAGAGTGGAGCGCTGTGATTGGTCAGTAGTCAGAATGGAGCGCTGTGATTGGTCAGTAGTCAGAGTGGAGCGCTGTGATTGGTCAGTAGTCAGAGTGGAGCGCTGTGATTGGTCAGTAGTCAGAGTGGAGCGCTGTGATTGGTCAGTAGTCAGAGTGGAGCGCTGTGATTGGTCAGTAGTCAGAGAGGAGCGCTGTGATTGGTCAGTAGTCAGAGTAGAGCGCTGTGATTGGTCAGTAGTCAGAGTGGAGCGCTGTGATTGGTCAGTAGTCAAAGTGGAGCGCTGTGATTGGTCAGTAGTCAGAGTGGAGCGCTGTGATTGGTCAGTAGTCAGAGTGGAGCGCTGTGATTGGTCAGTAGTCAGAGTGGAGCGCTGTGATTGGTCAGTAGTCAGAGTGGAGCGCTGTGATTGGTCAGTAGTCAGAATGGAGCGCTGTGATTTGTCAGTAGTCAGAATGGAGCGCTGTGATTGGTCAGTAGTCAGAGTAGAGCGCTGTGATTGGTCAGTAGTCAGAGTGGAGCGCTGTGATTGGTCAGTAGTCAGAGTGGAGCGCTGTGATTGGTCAGTAGTCAGAGTGGAGCGCTGTGATTGGTCAGTAGTCAGAGTGGAGTGCTGTGATTGGTCAGTAGTCAGAGTGGAGTGCTGTGATTGGTCAGTAGTCAGAGTGGAGTGCTGTGATTGGTCAGTAGTCAGAGTGGAGTGCTGTGATTGGTCAGTAGTCAGAGTGGAGTGCTGTGATTGGTCAGTAGTCAGAGTGGAGTGCTGTGATTGGTCAGTAGTCAGAGTGGAGTGCTGTGATTGGTCAGTAGTCAGAGTAGAGCGCTGTGATTGGTCAGTAGTCAGAGTAGAGCGCTGTGATTGGTCAGTAGTCAGAGTGGAGCGCTGTGATTGGTCAGTAGTCAGAATGGAGCGCTGTGATTGGTCAGTAGTCAGAGTGGGACGCTATTAATGTCTTGGTGCAAAACTTGTGAAATGACTTTAATATTCACCGAAGAGTCGTTATAGGTTAGAGATAATCTAGCGCCACACATATTTGTAGAAAAAACTTTTTTACGGTTTTCATTCCAATCTGTTTGTTAAAATAGTAACATTTTTTTGTAGATTTTTACTTATCATGATCGTTTGTGATTGTTGGTTTGTGAAATTTGTTCATTTTTGGCGAATCTCAATGCTTAATGTTATGGATATAAGAGTTATGGTTGGTAAACGATAGTATATGTGTTCATTTAGCAGTCGAGACATATGAGCTTCCGTGTTCCGACGCTTCACAACTTAGCTAGTCTGAACTTTGTCATAGATTATTCAATTTAAACAGCTGCCAGGTTATATAAAACTTGACCGATCACATATCTGATATTTCCTTTTTCTACAGAAACTTACATGCAGATCGAAGAGCACATTGAGACCGGAGCTCGCCCGGTCGACATTCACTCCCCCACCGGTCAACTCAGAACAAGTGACCCTGACTTTGAGATAAGGAAAAAGTCAGGGTACCTAACTAAACGTGGAGATAACGTCAAGGTAAAACTACAAGAACTCATCCTTAGGTATTTTGTATGCATTACTTTTCATTTGTTAGATTAAACCAGGAATACTCCTGCAACTTATGTCAGAACAGGAAGATACAATACTTAGTTAGTCTCAGGTTATCGACTATCGTTATAATAATATTGTCAGAACAGGACGATATAATGCTTAGTTAGTCTCAGGTTATCGTTATAATAATATTGTCAGAACAGGACGATATAATGCTTAGTTAGTCTCAGGTTATGGTTATAATAATATTGTCAGAACTGGAAGAGCAGGTGGTTTGTGATACAGAAGCACTGGTTACGGTACTATGTTTCCAACGAGGCCACCAACCCTCGGGGTGTTATTGACCTATCTAAAGCTCTGGATTGTAACGAGGACGATTCTTTTAGCAACGGGTTCACGTGAGCAGATACCGCTGATTTAGGAGTTTTTAGTTTCTGTTACAAACATTAATACCTTGTCTTGGTATGGGATAAAATTGCAATTTCTTGATTTGGACAGACCCGATTCATTAATCAAAATAATCCGAACAATTAGTTTATTAGTAGTTAGTACGTTATCATTTATACAGTAAATGGTAAACCCCAATTATATGCGTATCAGCTGATTTAAGCAATTTTTTCCATAACATTTCAGAAATTAAATCATCTTATTTCGAACTTTCTAGCAACATAACTGATAACTCGGTTTATTGCTCAACACTAAAAAATGTGAAGTGCAGAATTTCTGATTTTGTTTTCCGCGCGACAATTCAGATATCTGAATTGTGTGTTTCGGAGAATCAATCTCCTAATCCTATGTAAGAAGCAGTTTTCTATTTAAATGGTGTTTAGCAGTTAACAATTTTCTCTGATAATAACTGCGTATCTGACAGGATTACAGTCCGAAAAAGAATATACTACATCCAGGCCGCCACACCAGAAGATCGAAAAGCTTGGGTTGAAATGATTTGCTGGAAACTGGTAAGCTAAATAGACGATAGAAGTTTACATTTTTAGTAAAACTGGTGATACTATGGTACTTAATTTGCTTCTGATATCAAATTTTAGGAGATGGAGATATCATCGACATCACATTATGCTGTATATATATACATATCACCGGAGACTCGCGGGCGGAACAAAATATTGCACGCGCACGCGCGTGCAATATTTCATATGTCCCCGAGGGCGCTAGCCCGAGGAGGACATATTTTCGTATAGCACGGAGGGCCCATCGGGCCCGAGTGCTATACGATTTTTACGCCCGCGGGTCGAGGTGATGTGGATTATATCCACCAGCGGGCGTATTACAGTTAATATATAATTTTATAAATAAACAATGGAGCTTGTATAAAAGTTAACTCTAGAAAAGGTCGCCACTAATTGTTGTAACCATGGTAACACGTCACGTGTTCAATGTAAGCCAATCATAAAGGGCTGTGTCGTATATAGGGGCTGGAGATGCACTGCATTCCTGGGCCGTGGGAATATCAATAATGAATGTAATGTCAGTGACGATGAATATCAATAATATAGGGGGATTATAGTGCTGATGTGTATTATGTAGTGTGTTATAATAACTTTGATATAAATCAAAGTATCATGTCATCTGCTCACGAGCTGCATGAGCAGCCCTACCGGACACAAAAATAAAATGTATTATATAGTCAGTGTAATAAGGAATTTCACATGGAGACGATACAGAAACTGAAAATATTTTAGAGAACTCCGGGCTATATTGCTACTGGTCAAATTAAATGTCACTTGTTAGCGGGCTATATCATGAGCGGGCTGTAGAGATATCGGGCCTTTTGACAGCGGGCTGGTGAGAGCCCGCTATGCGAAAAAGCGCACGCTGGTGGATATATATGTTATAAGCCCCAACGTATGGGTACTGACTTTTGCATATTTCTGTCACATAACTTAGAGTTAGAATTGATAGTTTAACTTTAACCTAATTCAGGACTACTACAATCCTTGTCGTTCAGAAGTTGAGAAACCGAAACCACTTACTTCCCCGAAAGGGAGATGATGATAGACACTGAAAAGTTGCTTAAAAGACGACAAAGCTCCTGATATTGATTATTATTAAGATGGTCAGATAATTTATCAGTAGTTAACTTTAAACTTATACGAGTGATCTGAGACTGTACTTGAAATCACAGTGCCGGCAAGCACTGCTTTCCCACGACAGTTAAATGACATACATATGTAATATGTATATGGATGTAATACCAATTTAAATGAGTATAGAGTGGCATATTCATTATTCAGTCAGTGATCGAGAGATATGCTTACTAAAACACACGGAAATATTTTAAAAGGTAAAATTTCCAAATCGTTGAAATTACCTCCTTGTTCGATATATTTCTCAGTTTTACATTTTGACCTTGTGAATTATAGGACAGTGACATTAACCATATTTGTAAAGAGATGACATTTTTACTAAAACCCAAAATTGGGCAGAGTGGACCGTAAATTTTCCCATTCATGATCATCCTCAATTGATGATATTTGATATTGGATTGGAGGCAGTATTACTATTCGGCACTATCGATGCGTTACAATTTGCAGGCCGTGGAATTGGATGAATGAGATAAGCGACAGACCGATTTCATTCTCGGTATCATTTTGCGTTTGGGTACGTGCAGTAACGGTGATTTAAATTGATATCAATATCACTTCTTTTTGTTCGGAAAAAGGAGACACTACTGCCTGGTGACGGTTCACTCTATCCAATTTTGAGGTTAGGTCATAGGTTAAGAATCAATTAATTTGGGGTCATTAGCTGAGTGGTTTGCATTTACAATTTACAATATTTTTTCCTTTTATAAAATGTTGTTTATTATTGTTTTTATAATGATGAGTACTCAGTACAGAGTTTAACTTTACCCAGAAAAGCTTACCGGCTGGCCGTGGTACTAGAGGTGGTTGTTTTTCGATGGCACGTGTGTCAGCGCGCGTGACGTAACGTTCACTGCATCAGCATGATCGCTCGCGTGAATTGCAATCTGGAGTCATGACAACGACATTACTTCGCAAAGTTTAAAAGCTGCGATCTTTTATTTAGCCCAAAATCAAACTTTTCGCGATAATTCAAAATCTACATTGTTTTGAATTTGGCTCCTGGGGAGCCTACTTTAGTTTTACGAGACGGACATTTTGTTGAAAACCTTACGTTTCTATCTCTTTTACTTCCGAAGTTAGGCCCCTAACGGTAAGGTTTCCTGGGTAATATATGCCTTGCTTGATACATGTTGCGTATCCCAAAAAGTGCATGCACATTGACATACGTTGCAGGCCACTTAAGTGGCATGCAACGTATGTCAATGCCTTACTGGGCCGCGCTCAGCCTGTCATTCCGCCTAATCTGTCCTGTTTATGAACATGATACTGATAGCCTGAGGTCCCCAGGTAAGTCAATGCCTTGCTTACTTGGGGCCAAATAGGCTTTCAATTTGAAATTGAAAAGAAGCAGTCACGTCCCACGACAACCGTAAACCGACCGTGCTAAATCACTTTTGCTCTAACCAGAACCCTCTCGCTTGCAGAGGGCTCTGGTTAGCGCGTCACGCAGTACGCGTATACAGTTACACATGGCTATGTGAAAAATCACTTTACAGTCTACTGCATACTGCTTGTCGATCATATAATAATACGTTGTACTTGTAGACCTGCAGCGCACGAGTGTGCGGCTGTATCGTACTGGCTTTCGCCACGATACCAATAATCAAACGCGAACGACACTTAGTGAAACGACAATGGGGGTCAAGACGTGAAACAATGTTTTATCCTCCATGCATGACATAACGTTAAATTGCTCCCCCCCCCCCCCCCCCCCCGCGGCGAGATATTGGCGAAAACTGTCTCGATCACGAAATATGAGTATGACCATTTACCTGGGGACCCCGGCCCAGGCTATTATGTTCATAAATAGAGATTCGGCGGAATGACAAGCTGAGCACGGCCCAGTAAGCCCAACTCGGCGCCCGTCTAGGTAGATTATAAATGTGAGGGATATGATATGATGTTACTCCATACTCGTCTACATAGTATTAATTTCTTAGAAGTAGCGCGCGCCGCTTTTTACACTTAACGAAATGTAATTGTAGGTTTATAACCTATACCTTGTATCACGTGGTGACCCTTGCTCTAACCAGAGCCCTCTCGCTTGCAGTAGCGCGCGACCGCCGTTGTGAAACAAGCGCGTCACGCAGTACGCGTATACACATGGCTATGTGAATGGTGACCCCCACGGTCGCTTCACTATACCCCTGTCATGTAGAGTTTCGACGTTACAGGGGAGCCGCGCACAAGTGCGCGGCGGGTCATACAACGTATGACAAGGTAAATAGGGGTTTGCAGTATAATAAATATATCAATTCAGATCGTTCACATATTATTATATTACGGTAACCAATTGTCGGCCAATTTAAACAGCTTTTGTGTAGAAATTACACTAACAGAAAATGATATATGAAAGATCCCAATACGATTCAAACTTGTAATTTTATAACATTAATATTATCTCCCTAAAATGTATTTAATTTGTGTCTTGACGGATGTTACTCGTCTAAATTTCTTCGAAGTAGCGCGCGCCGCTTTCTTCTCGAAATGTAGCGCGCACCGGGCCAGACCATTAACAATGGTCAAATTATTATTATCAAAACATAATTATAATAATATGTCTTGCTCTAACCAGAGCCCTCTCGCTTGCAGTAGCTTGGAGGACTTCGCCGCTTCGACGCGCCGCGCGAACTAGCATTCTTGCTTCGCATCGTCGATCGTTGCTCTGCTTCGCAGAGCGACGATCTCGATGGGTTGACATCGTCAACCAAGCAGTAGCGCGCGACCGAATTGTGAAACAAGCGCGTCACGCAGTACGCGTAGACACATGGCTATGTGAATAATATGTCTGCATGATTAATGATTAGTTGTTGCTTGATTCCCCAGAAAGTGCACAACTAACTGCAGACAAGCTTTTGATAAAGGAGCAACGCATCATTTTAACAACATTCGTTATTTTAATTTGGCACCCAGGATTGGTATTTTCTTTCTTTAACAATTTCGTAATTTATACTTACAACATGGATCATTTAATTAAATACATTTGGTCGTCTTAACAATTAATAAAGCTGGTATGTAGAAAAGATAATATTATTAATAATAATAACAAATAATAACAAACACAAATACTAGACACTTAACTTTTTGATGTGTATTATATTATATATTATGTATTAAAAAGAAAGCTGATTTATTGTGAAAAGAAGCAATTAGAACAATACTTCTTCCTTCTATATTCAATCGCCCAGTAACAGACCTAGAGAGAGACAAGGTCGCACTACCTCTTAGACACGGTGGCTTAGGAATTCAAAATCCTGTTCTTACAGCAGACAGAGAATATGAGGCGTCACAGAAAATCACAAAACCTCTGCCTAATCTTATCTATAACCAAGATCATGATCTAGGCAAACTTGACCTCACAGCTATTGCAAACACCAAAGCAGCACTGAAAGCTGAAAAAGAAAAAGATTTTGCAGCAGAGAGACTCAGAATAGAAAACGCAATAAGTTCTCCAGCAAAGAAAAGATCGTTTTCACTGGCTACACAAAAAGGCAGTTCATCCTGGCTGTCAGCCCTCCCAATGCAGTCTTATGGTTACTGCTTGAACAAGAAGGACTTTAGAGATGGTATATGTTTGCGATATGGCTGGCCTATACAAGATATTGCTAAACACTGTGCGTGTGGAGAAAGAAACTCCGTCGATCATGCCCTTTCTTGTAAAAAAGGAGGGTATGTTTCCTTTAGACATACAGTGCTTGTAGAAACCGAAGCAGATCTACTACGTGAGGCTAAATGTAGAAACGTTTATACTGAGCCAGCTCTCTTACCAACGTCTCCAGAACTTCATCCCAAAGGAACTACTACTGACTAGTAGCGTAACGAAGGGCCCTGCTGACCCCGCTGTGCAGGGGGGCGCCGTCTTAGGGGGGCACCAAATCGTCGTTTGAATGTGGGACAATTTCGAAAACTTAACTAAAGTACTAGCAAAACTGCGCGTTTTGCTCTAGATACACACTTTTTTAGAGATTTTTACCGGCGTATCTTCTAAAATCACCTAATTTGTTCAATTTTAGGGAGGGGCACCAAAAGGGGAGGGGGCGCCAACAGGGGGGCGCCTTTTCGGCAGGGGGGCGCCAACAGGCAACGTTACGCCACTGTCAGTAGTACTGACAGCGGAGCAAGGCTAGATATTGTTGCAACTGGATTATATGGCAGGAATGCCAGGACTTTCATGGATGTAAGAATAACACACCCAAATGCACCATCAAACCTTAATGTTCCCCTGGACAAGTTGTACAAGAGAAATGAGGAAGAAAAAAAACTAAGTATAACTCACGAGTCATCAACACTGAAAGAGCGTCTTTCATTCCTCTAGTGTTTTCTACAGCAGGGACTACAGCACCAGAGTCCAGAATGTGACAGATTTCACAAACGTCTTGCTAGATTGATATCAAAGAAGAGAAAGGAGAGCTACACAGATGTTATCAACTACATCAGGACCAAGATATGCTTAAAAGCATAGTGGTATCAGTTCATGGTGTGAGGAGTCAAGAAGAAAAGAAAGTAACAAAAACGGTTGCTGACACAGCATTTGGACTTATACCTAGTATGACCTCTTGTGGAACGAATTCCGTAAAGTTGGCCCGTTAAATTTCACCTCCACATGCGGATCTGTCAAGAATTTACTTAAACAGTCACTTCTAAGAGCTCAAAACCGGTATGGAACTGAGTGGTGTGACAGAAATTTCACTGAATTCTGATTATGAAGTGATATTCATTTGCCCGTTATTCCACTTAAGCACTTACTGACTGACAAGCTTATCTATGAATACCATGCTTGAATTTAGGTAAACAACATACAACTCATTCCCAGTTACGCTGAGCGCAACCGCCGAATGACACAGTAATATGGGCACGCGCATAGCATTGCGCGCCGATGCTGTGCGCGTTGTCGGCCGAAACTTGGGAAGTTCCCGCTCTAATATTCAGACGACAGTGATGACTCATTAAGAGCACTAATTTCGACCACTTTCCCGGTCGAGCCATACCAAATCAAATTAATTGACCCACGTGTATAGCCAATGTCCTGGCGGTGCTGAGCCGATGTAAAACTCTTCTGTAAACTCTTTTGTCTCTTGTAACTTGTTTATATTTTATATTTAAGTTATACTGTGTACTGTGTACAATAGTTATAGCGTATATATAGTGTGTAGTGTGTAGTGGTTATTTTGTTGTGACGTGTCACTTTATATTTTGCTACCAACGTCAGCCTTGACTTACCATTTATTGTAATTGGTACAGCATATATCAAAACTAAAACACTGTTTTCGATCTGACGGGTGATGGGCTCTCTCTGATGGGACACGGTTCTAGGGGGTACCCGGGGTACGAGTTAACGAATAGTGTTCGTGTCCTTCCACAACCCCCTCTCATTGTGTTTTTGACGGAGGAGAAGCC